ATTAGATAAATAAGTACAAAAATTATTTGTTAGTAAGTAAAAAAAATATCACTCATTCTAATCATCCGATCCCCTCTCCTTGTCATATGGCTTGGTGGGAGGGACAGTAGCCTCTTAACTAGGGGACGGATCTACGGGCAATCCAAAAGTATATGCTAGCCTAGTGAATAGGGAGGCAAATGTGTCATACTAAGACCGTAGCCCTTATATGGAACTCTGCCGTCGCATAACAATGTTTTTCAGCTCATCTTGTCCGGCCTACATCCTCTCGTATCATCTATTTCGCCTCCTCATACTACCTTCGAACCTCCTTATTAGACATGTCGTCGGTAAAATTTGATGCCACAGAGGACGAGCTCCCGCCACTTGATCGGGACGGATAATGTGAAGCCTATGTTTCTACACCATACATCTTCTTTTCTTTCTCCCTTATAGCCTTAAGGTCTATGGCATTCTTGTCAACCTCTAGCTTCGGGATTCCTTTCGCCTATTGCATCATAACAGACTTCTTATATGAGCTCTTCAATACACTTCGCATAATCAAAATAATTAAACCATTAAAAGAGTAAAATAAATTTTAGATTATATTTGCATATATAAATTTTCTTAAAAAAAAAACACTTACCATTGTATGCCGGGAGCGTAGATCGATGAAAAATCATCTCATCACTAAGTGAGTGGTCCGAAACAACCAAAAATTATTGGCTCACGCCCCAATTTTGCCTCTTGAAAAAAGTGAATTATAAAAAATATGAGATGCAAATTAAAATTTTCTTAAATATTTAATTAATAATATAACATATGATTTATCAAGTGACAAGCGTACTTTTTCGAAGAGATAGACCCCTTGTATGCCTAGAAGGGCTCGCACCCGATCCACCGATCTTCAACATCCGGTTCCACAACATCGGCTCTAAACAAGTCTTGCAATTGGGTTTGGCAAAATCTTGACGCCATGAGTCCCGAACCTTCCGTGTAATAAAATGAGGTCGTTCGAACATCAAACCATGGCTATGGATGAAGTCGGAGTAGCGCTTCCTTGCCAAAGCATCCCAAGCTTCTCTAGCAATCACCTCAATGATCGAATCTCAATAAAAATGTTTTTGCATGAATTAAAATAATCAATATTAACTACTTAATTTAATGATAAATTAATATTTTAAATATAATAAAACAAATTAATAAAACGTTACCCTAAATTCACTAAAGTAGAATTTTTTAGTGACATTTGAGACGAACTTCCACGCCAACCCACCAACATCCAACCGCAACTTAAAAATCTTAGTTATCTTGGTCGAATAATTTCTACTAAGGCGGACTAAAACTATTGAAAATCACAAAAAATAAAAATAAAAAAAATAAGTAATTATTGAAATGATATATTAAAATAAACTAATAATAACATTGTTTTTAAAAAATAACATACCGTTCTCGAGTGACAGAAATAATCCACCAACTAGATGAACTTTGCGAGCTCTCTAGAGCGATAGATTCATCGGTGGAAGTGACACCTAGTATCACCGGTACTAGCAGCTACTATAGTCGGTGTGGGAACCTCTATTCTCGATACGAAACCTCTTTGGCCGAAGACACTATAGATGTGTTAACTCCGTGGGAGATCCCCGACCCACGTATAGTGTCCGAAGTGAGAGATCCTTGATCGACGCCGGTTGGCAATCTCCGTGGGTTGCCATCAATCGGGGATACACGTCCACAACTACTAGAACCTCGTGTCATAGCCGAATAATATAACCTAAGATAATTAAACAAAATATCGATATTAATTAACAAATTATAATATTATAATCAAAATTAAATCTAATTAATTTAATTATAAATTCAAACATTTACTAAATTTTAAATATCGATATAATTAATAAATTATAATATTATAATCAAAATTAAATCTAAATAATTTAAATATTATAATCAATTATTTAACCATTTGTACTATAATTAATATTAAAAATCAATCAATCAATTCAAATAATCATAATTAAATTAATCCTAAATCAAATTAACTTAATTATATTAATCCTAACTAATTACAATATTAATCCTAATTGAAATGTTAATTATATTTTAAAATAACGAAAAACAAATTAACAATTATTAGTAACCTAACAATTAACAAAAAAATAATAAATAACAAATTAACAATTAACAAAAACAATAAAAAAAACAAATTAACAAAATTTTGACATACTAATTAATAAAAAATAACAAAAAATCAATAAAATTAACCTAATAACTAACCACATTAATCTAATTAAAAAAAAATAAAGATCTAGAGAGAAAAAAAGTTTACCAAATAAGAGGAGGGAGAAGAGAGACTAGTGACAAATCTCGAAAAGAAAGTTACACCTTGTAAGACCGAGTGGGCTGGGGAGTGAGTAAGGTGGCATGGCGTAGTGGTTAGGGCCTCTCGAGGGTAGTGGCAACGATGGAGGAGAGGAGGAGGAGGAGGAGAGGGAAAGGGGGAAAATAAGAGAGGAAGAGAAAGAGTCCGGAAGTTAAAGGGGTCCGAGATTAGTGATGGAACGCATCTATCGCTAATTCATCGCTAATTATTGACAAAAATAAGTATTCGTCGCTAATTTGAATTTCAAATGTCCACTCGAATTGTCTAAAAAGATTGAGAAGTCTACCAAAGTTTGCTATGAAAACATTTTTTATCGCTAATTAATGATAGAGTAGTCATATTCGTCGTTGATTTGAATTTTCTATGATCGTCAATTTTGTTTACAAAATTTGACAAATTTTGCTAATTACCAACAATATGGTGTTTGTTGCTGGATAGAGACGAAATAGTGACATATAAGCTCTGTCGCTTGCCCAACGCTGCGTTTAGCGACAAAATTTGTATTCCGTCATGAAATTCTCTCGTAAGGTCGTTACAAATCCATCGTGGCATGCTCGGTAGTGAAGAAAACTATTCCGTCGTTACTTTTCCATCTCAAAATCGTCGCTGAACCGTTACTATATGATTTGTTTTATATTTCATCGTTATTCAATCACTATTAAATAGGTAAATGACAACGGGTTGTAAATTTCATCACTAATTGCATATTTTCTTGTAGTGTATATATATTATTTATCTAAATGATTTTGTTTTTATTTTGACATGATTTGGTATTGATCTAACCTAAATATGATAAAATTAATTTTGATGTATACAAAAAAATTTTATATAGATATTAAGTTTTCATTTGTCTTCATTTGAATTTAAAATTACTAATATATATATGATCATCTATCTTTTTGTACATTCCTAAAATCACCATTAATTCCCATCTATAAGATAATGCGCCAAAATAATTCCATCACAATTCAAGTTAAAGATTTAAACATGGAAGTTTAGTTCTTTTTGAAATTCTTGAAAATTTGAAATCTTGGTTTGAAATATTTTCTAATATCGTTAAATGATGGTGATTTTGGAACCAAAGATTGATCGAAAATTGGACAATGAATAATCATCAGTAGAAAAAGATGACCAGATAGAAATCTAAATTCTATTAATTCAAAGATAGAAATCTAACAAAAAAAATAATAATTTTGAATGCTATTTATTTGTTCCTTAAAGTTATAATAAAACAATCTTTTAGCCAAGTGACTATAACAAAAAGATTAATTTTGAGTTATGTACTTGTAGCATTTTTCTTTTTCCCGTTATACGTAGAGTTAGTATTTCCTTTCAATTCATAGTAATGGCTAATAATAACATTAATTATTTCATATTTTTATTAATTTGATCCATATATATATATAAACAGACATGATTAGTCACCGAACAAAACTCATATTTGCTCCAATTTAGTATGCAAGTGGAAACTGAAGGAAAGGAAAAGACGACTTACGGATAATCGGTGCATAATAAACATACTCTTGATAAGATATTAATAATTTAGATGGCAAGTGTACGTAAATTTATTCTTTTATTGTAACATTATTATTGGAGTCCACATTTAAGGAGACGTGAGAAATAAAAAAACATATATATCTCATATATGAATTGTGGATTCGGATTCGTCTAGGATCTCAATGGATCATCTATAGCTAGGTTAATCTTACGCAGTACTCATGAGTAGAGAAATTAATTTTAAAACACTTAAAGAAGTGACTATCAATCTTTACTTTGTAAATCTATATATATTGAAAAGAGTGATATATATATATATATACGGATCTGGCAGTAGAATATTCTATGTTCCAAAAAGAATGAGCATTTTGCTTACTGCATACTGCTTACCTGTTGAAGCCTGGGCAAAAAGGATTAAATAAAAATAAACACAAAATTAATGAAAAATAAAAACAGCTCAATTGAAACGAAAGAGAAATATTTATGGTATTTAAGAAATAATTATAGAGAATAAAAGAGAAATACAATAAATAAATAAAATACTGCATATTGCTTACCTATTGAAGCCTAGGCAAAAAGGATTAAATAAAAATAAACAAAAAATTAATGGAAAATAAAAACTGCCCAATTGAGACGGAAGACAAATATTTATGGTATTTAAGAAATAATTATAGAGAACAAAAGAGAAATAAGAAAGAAAAAATCAAAAAAATATGAGTTCAAATAAAAATATTTTTATTATTTTTAATTAGTATGAGTTCAATTGCATACTAACATCAAATTGGCAGACCAAATATTTTTGAACTTGTACATACTAACATTGCATAAATTAAAACACCATGGCTTCCATTACATGGCCTCAATAATATGCATATATAAAAAGTTGGCAGACCAAATATTTACAATCGAAAATGTCAATTAGTGAGGATATTATTTCTTCATCAGCAAGCATTGCACAACCACACATCAAATTCTAACAAGCAAATACCCAAACCACAATACCAATACATAGGCCATATCTACAACTTAATTAGACTTAGTGAACGCATCAGATGATAACGATTGTTCGATGCCAAGTATATAATAAGCTTATCTGCATCCATTTCCAGCAACAAATCATATGACGACTTGATCATCTCAATCATCTTCTCCTTGGAGTCACTTTGACTGTAAGTGGGTTAGACATTTCACAGGATAACCTTAGCAGTTCAGAGAGATCCACTGGCTCATGATCACATTGCACCCACTCAAACTCATGCAATAAAACCCCAACCCAAAAGCTAACTGTGGCCAAACCCAATGTCTTTCCCGGGCAAGTCCTACGACCTGACCCAAATGGAGCCAGCCTGAGGTCAGATCCTGACACAGAAAATTCCACGTCAGCAGCAACATCCTTGCACAAAAATCTCTCTGGTAAGAACTTTTCTGGGTCGACCCAAACTTGTGGGTCCCTTGTTATGGCCCACATATTAACCATAGCCGTGGTCCCTCCTGGCACATCATATCCATCAACATGAGTGTCCGTGATTGCTAAACGGGCCCATGACAGAAGTGGGCCTGGTGGGTGTAACCTTAGAACTTCTTTCACTACTGCAGGCAGGAAAACCATTGATCTGATGTCGGATTCCATCAACGGCCTTGATCTTCCCACAACTTGATCGAGCTCATCGTGCACCTTTGATTGGATATCAGGGTGAAGTACCATTCTTGCTAGTATCCACTCTATCAAAACTGCCACGGTATCTGTTCCCCGAAAAATCATCTCCTAGATTAAACAATATAATTAAGGAAATTAATTAATGAAACAGCATAATGGTACGGTAGGATCCATAATAAATGCCAGGAAAAGAAAGGAAGGAATATAAGGAGCTTGTTAATACATGTAAGATTCCACATTCGATTCTTTTCTTTGGCCTATTTCTCAAAACAACAAACATCATGGAAGACAAAAATAAATTATATCAAAACAAACATCACGTCAGAGGAAAAAAAAAAAAAGTAATAGCCATAATGTTTCCGTTCTTTCAAATAATGTTTAGCAATATAGATTTTCTGATGGTACGTACAGCAACAATGTAAAATACATATATACTAGCTATAAATACTAATTTATATTTTGATCTATATAAAAAAAATCAGTATCTTGTATCTCCATACAGCCACATTGATGCCGTATCCACCATGGTATAAAATCATGCTATATTTATTAGATGCATTTCTCTGTATAGATTAGAATTCCTTAAAAGAACACACACACGCATATATATGAAAATACACATACATAAATAGATACAGGCATAAAAAAAAGGAAATTGCTGTGACAAGTTTGTTGCTTACCCAAAGAACGGCAACCATATCATGGTCTGATAACTTGTCCGGTCCATGAAGAGAGAGCAAAACATTAACAAAGTCAGGTCTGATTAGGCCAGTTTGGTCATCTCTATGTTCTTGAATAATCCGGTTCACAAACCGGTTCACTTTAGGAACCAAATTGGAGCACCTGAACCTGATTTTTTGAAGGTCTAAATTTGCAAGCCAAGGAAGATGATCGGACCAATTAAGCTTCCCTAGAAGATCATAACCTTCATCAACAAGTCCTCTAAGCTCTTCAGTTTCATTATTTGATGAGACCAGATCATATTTACGACCAAAAACTGAACACATCATGCTGTTGAGTGACGCTTTCTTTAGTATGTCTCGAACACAAAAGTAATCTCCACCTTTACATGCTATTACTGATACCATTTGAGAAGCAATATTGAACCTTTGTGACTCAGTGGAGCTGATTTGTTTAGGACAAAAAAGATGAGTGGCTGCAATTCTCCTTAGAGTTCTCCAGTAAACCCCATAAGGAGCAAAACCAATAGCTCTATTAAACATGAGTTGATAAGCAGACTCTTTAACTGGACGATCAGCAAAGACTGAACTGTTCAAGATTTCTTTGGCTACATCAGGATTGCATGTGATGATAACCCTAGTCTCTCCCAAGCTAAAAGCCATAAGTCTTTTTGCTTTAAAAGTTTTGGCTGCAGCAGCAAGCTTGTGGTGAGCTAAGTTAACCATGAGGTTCATGCTTCCAATCACCGGAAACCCTTTAGGTCCTGGAATCATTTTGGCTTTCGAACAGCTTCCTTTCTTGAGCCAATACTTACCCCAGGCAGGGCCTCCGGGGTAAAACCAGTAGCACAGAGCCATGGCTAGCCAAGTAAAGAAAAGAGAAACAAGAAGGAAGATGGGGTTTTGAGAAGAAAAGGCTTTGCATTTAGAAATAAGGGCCAATACCCAAAAGCTGTCTGTTTGTGTTTCCATGGGGATAGGAGAAGGCGTGCTTGAGTCTGCAAAGAGTGTGAGTTTTTGTGGGTTTCCTTTTTTGGGTTAAACTAGGAAGTGGAAGGCTTCGCTTATATAGAGGAAGATTGAAGGGTGGGGGAATAAAAAATACTTTTTTATTTTGAAAATACTAACTACTACTACTACTATTAATAACGGTTACGTAGTGAATTATAATGATATTATTATAACCGAAAATTGAATGGAAGTTAATGAAAATATCAATTAGCGCCGCCAACAGTCGTCATATAAACTGCTGAATAATTAAAATTACTACAACTTACTACTGCTGATTTAGCCCCACTCTCATCTAAATTGCGTGTACCTCCTCATCCTTCCTTATAAATTGTTAAAAGAACAAGCGTACAGGACACCTCTCCGTCTAAAGAGGCTTGTCATTCAGATTTTACTCCTAACAGGTTGGGACAAAATAAGAATATTGGAACCAACCATTCAAATTTGAATGGTCCGTTTAAATTCCGATCCAAGAGGATTTAATTAATCTTAGTCTGCCAAGATGGATATCTAATTAAAACCATTATCATTATAAACAACGAAAAAAATGTTATTTTAATCTAGAATAATTGATTTTAGAGTGGTGATTATAATTTAATTTGCTAAATATTAAATTCTTATTTTATTAGATATCTAAAACCATTATCATTATATATATATATATAGAATCATTGATTTTAGAGTGATGATTATAATTTTGTTAAATATTAAATTGTTATTTTTATTAAATATTTTTCCAACACTATCAAAATTTTGTTAAAAAAAAATACGTCGCTAGTTGTCAAAAATCCATCGCTATATGCAATTAGCGATGGATTAGAAACAATATAAATTATGTCGTTAATATGGTGGTTTCTAATTTTTTAGCGATCAAAAAAATTTTTTTTTTTTTTTGTCTCTAAATCAATTTAAATCGATCATTGTAATGTCTCATATCGTTTGCCAAACCATTGCTATTTTCACTTAAATTTGTCTCTAAATAGAGACGAAATGGAGTCATTGCTAAATTATAGTCATTAAGACCCTCACAATTTCATCACTAAATAGAGATGGAATGGGTTATTGTTAAATTATAGTCGTTAATATCTTTTTAATTTCATCGTTAATCTATTGTTATTTAGTGATCTGCATATGTATCAATCGCTAATTACCATCTCTATTCTGTCGCTAAATCTAAAGCTAATTTTTTCTCTTTAAAAAAAAAATCAATAGTCATTTATTGAGAATTGTAATAATAAACAACTATAAACGACTCCTTATTAAAACATAATATATTATTTACTAAAATTAAAATAAATAAAATAATTAAATATATAAATGCTTTAAGATGTATAAAAATATTTTAACAAAATTTTAACAAAAAAGAAGTTTAGTCCTCATTATCATCATTTTTTGCATCATCTTTTGATTGTTGGTCGTTGAGAAGAATGATTGACGATTGGGTCAGTGAGAGGGTTTGTAGGAGGGATTAGTGGTGGCTAGAGGTTCTTTAATAACACTATAACTCTCGCAACCGAGTCTAGATGCTACTAACTTGACTGGTTTGTTGCTAGTTAATAACCTCCGTCTTCTCGATCCTATTTAGGCAAAGACCTCATAGATATTACCACCAAGATACTGCGAGGTGGCAGAGGAGGAGGCGACGCCAAATTGTGAGTAACAATGAGACGAATAAGTTTTGATGTCTTACACTCTCTACTTCTTCTCCCCTCTAACATCATCCAAATATAACTTTGACATGTCTATATCTTGAGACAATGCATCAACCTGCAGACTCCTTCTTACATTAACTGCATGCACTCATAAGTCATTGAAATGATTATGATATTAAATCATAAACATAATTTTTTAGATTATATCGATTGATGTACATATATTTAAAAAATGTAAAATATTACCATTACTATCTACAATTGCTTATCGACGAATGTCTCATCCTTCCACTTGTGAATGGTCACGAACATCTTGTAAGGATTTGGATTACAACCCAATTTATTATGCTAAAAAAACAAAATAATATGAGATTAAATAACTACAAAACTTAATTTAGAATACAATGGATAATATAGTATTTATCAAACACTCAGCATACTCGATCAAATAGAAGGGCCCTCTAGTATGCTTGGATGGGCTAACACCGTCACCACTCGTCTCTAACATACGATTTCGAGACACCTGCCGAGATCACACCCGATATCGAGAGTGGCCCGATCTTGGTGCCATGCTTCTCACACCCCTAGTTTAACAAACACATATTTACTCTTATGCTTTAGCTTGTTAAGTATGTCGATGTACCGCCTCTATGCTAAACTCTCTCATGCATCCTTAATCGGTACGTCGATAGCCACTTTCCATAAAAAGTACTTCTACATGAAGAAAAAATATAATATTAGTACTTTTCAAGGTAAATTAACACTTTAAATGAAATATAAGTAAATAATTGCTATGTTATCCTAAACTCATTAAAGTAAAAGTCTTTCATTTCTATAGAGACATAATTTTATATAGAACTAACAACATCTAACCACTTTTTCAAAATTATGACGATTTTTGTAGAGCACTTGCTTGATGGGATCAAACTATGGAACAAAAAAAATAATAATAAATAAGTAAATTAAGGATTCTAATATAATATATGAAAATATAAAACTAATTATCATATGTAAAATATATTACTTATCGGTTATTCACGACCTAGGTGGTTCATCCATCATCGGATCCATTGGAATGTTCCGGAGTTGAGAAAACCATAGTGAGATCATACATAGCAAGGGGCACTCGCTAGAGGAGATGCGGACATACCGACACCACTATCAAGTCCGTGGCCTTGGATAGTTGGATTAACGATGCCATGTCCACTTACATTGTCGCTATCAATCACATGGTCAATATCAAAGCCATAGCCAATAACACTACGACTAGATTCGCCCAATCCATGAGACATAACTCAAGCATAACACCTAAAATAATTTAACTAGTGAATAAAAATTTGGAAAATTATTATGAATTAGAATAAAAATTTTAAATCGTTTAAAATGTACAACAAATAAAAAAATATACATAATAGATAAAACAATATAATTTAATGATACAATAAATAAAATTGATATTTAATTACAACTTTCATAATAATCTTTTAAGTTTTTCTCTCTTTTAGTTGATTCGATGCATATTCACTCTCATTTTCTTCATTAGCTTCAAATATTTTTATATCTATAAATGATCTATTTGAATCATTCAATGATGGCCCTATAATATCCTGGACTAAATTATATTGGATTTTTAAATCGTCCTCTTGAAATGGATCTCGCATGACATTGGAATCCAATAAACGATTTTGGCAAATCAACTACAACCCTAGGTTTTATCTTAAAAACACCCCATCAATCCTAATGGTCACACTTTTAGCTAGGATACGAGACATAATATACTTGAGTCATTTATGTCACTTAGACCAAAAGGTTCTTATCTCGTTGAAACTCTTTCTAAAGTTTATCTCTACTAGTCTATATTACGGATGAACCTTTATTCTATTCAATGTAAGATCAAATCAATCGGCATTTGAACATAATTATTCCTTTGATTGGTAATGCAGGATACTCTAACTATAGAATTTTGATCGGTATCCCATAATAGTCATCTTATCCGTACTATAGTTAAATTTTTTCATGAAAACTCCACTATTCATACTTGTTTTATTTGCACCATGCTTTTGTGTATGAAACCTATAACCATTCACAATGTATCCCGAATATGACTTTACAGATGTGTAAAATGCCTTTTTCAAGATCTTTTATAAGTTGGTCCATTATACAAGTTGATTATGCATATTTTGTCTAAAAAATCGAGATTCACGACAAGAAGTTTAGTTAATAGTAAAAGAAAATCAATCAATAAACCTAAACTAAAATGAGGATACTCACATATTCATTAAACCATTCAACAAATTCGATTTCAAGTCAACCATCAACGTTACTATGGTTAACTATGACATTCGATGCATACAATCTTTACAAATGTGAGATAAGCAAAAAGTAATGTATTTTTTAAATGGAATATGTTTTACTTTATCCAATCCCAATCTCGGACTTCGATATTGACGATTTTATAAAATTTACAAGCAATTAATTCACTATTTTCACTACAATAAATCATGCAATTTTTGAAATCTTTTCTACTAATAAATCCATTCCTTTCACCAACTTTTAGGTGCTATAAAAATCTTCTATCATACAATTATTAATCTGTATCAACTCCTTCATCAACCTACATATCTTGTCGTAACACTATTCGGAAAAAGGTATTCCGACTTGAGGTTTAGCAATCGGACATGTAACACCTTCGACTTATAACCTAGATAGGTGAAAAGTATTATCAACATTGACTCGCATTTGAGGTGTAATAAATATAAGCCAACAAACATCTTTACATTAACTCGATCATTTCATTAGCGAAGTAAGCAATTTTTGCTAATGAGGTCCCTATTAAGTACGGGATGCTAGGTTCACCTTAAAATAACTTGTATATAAATTTATTTCTTAAATTCGATCAAGCCTTCATTAATGCTTTAACATAACATTACTATTAAAAAAAAATCCTTGGTTTACTAATTTACATACCATATACAATTAACCAATAATCAAGCTAAATAAAAGTAGGTTCTCATACTTCTTTACCCTAAGCACATGACTATCAAGTCCTTATATCTTTTAGTGGTGACGGTCTTTAATCGTCTTTCTCTTTTCTTACACCATAAGAAATAAAGGGTGAAAAATGCAATGCGATGCTCGGTAAGTACAATCCATACACTACATGTGGTGCCTTATATGCAAGAATGCTCATGATATATTGAAATACTTTTTCGAGACTTTGAAATACATTTTTTTATGATTGGGTATACCTTATTGAATATATTTATATATACGGACTCCATAAAAACTATGTCTTTGAAAACTATGAAAAGC